GCCCGCCTCGCTTATGCCTCGGCGCTGAGCCGCTCTCCCGATTGCCCGCCGACATGAGCTGCAACGGAGGCTCCCACCCGCGGATCAACACTCTGGGCCGCATGACCCGCGCCGAATCTGGCCCGGACCTGCGCTACGAGATGACCAGCGGCGGCGGGGGCACCAGCAGGATCTACTACTCGCGGCGCGGCGTGATCACCGACCACAACTCGGACGGCTACTGGTGGGTACCTGCCCGGAGAGCGCGGGCTGCGGGGCGCGCGGGACGAGGAGGGACCTTCCTCCTCTGGGCGACGGGGAGACTCGAGTCCCGAAGGTGGAAAGGTTTTTTGCCCCAGGTCCCGAAAGAGCTTCCTGGCCGCGCTGGGAGCAGGACCCGGGTGTCGTGACGCGTGCAGGGACAGGTTGGCCCTGTCCTGCGAGCGGGGACTCGGTCCTACCTTTCTCCCTTCCCGCGAGCCCGGGCGGGTGGTCAGAGGGGGCGTCGGGCCAGCGCGGGGCTGTCCCCTGCCTGCCGGACCCGGCTGCAGTCGCCTTTGTCCCAGCCCGCGAATGGGAGGTCAGGGGAGGTGGGCCTGCGACCACAAAACCCAACCTCTCCAACCGTAATCAATGTAAAAGAGGAAAGGAGCGGGGCCCCGGCACTATCTGGTGGCCGAGTGGTGCTCGGCGCTCCGCGGTCTTTACCCGCTCACCCCCAATCCCCGGTAACCCCGAGACCACAACTGCGGCGGTTCTTGGACTCCTCGGCCACCCGAGGACGTTTGTATGAAGGCTGCACGTCCGGGCGGCGCGGGGTCCTGTCCCGAGGAGGCCCGGCTTCGGCTTCCCCTGTCCCGCAAACGAAACTTGTCCGCCGAGGTGGCTGCCGGGCCCGGCGCTCAAAGTTCGGCGGGGACTTGCCTGTTCCCCTCGGTCGTCCGCGCCGCAGCCCCGCGGGCGAGCGCACCTGTGGCCCTGCCTCTGAGCCTTTTGTTTCCTCCTTTTTAAAAACACCGGATGAAAGACCCCAGTGTGCCTTGGATCGCAGAGCGCCAGCCGCGCATCTGCTTTGATCCAGAATGTGTGGGCAGTGGAGTGTGGGGGGGAGGACGACGCTGGGGGCCCGCCCTGGCGCAGGTGCCCCGGGAAGACCCCCCACTGAGAGGGTCAGCTTCTCCGGATCCTCGCGGAAACAGACCGAGGGCGTCGTTTGGGTGGGTGGGGAGAGACCCTGTCCCAGGTCTCGGGAGCTGGACTCTAGATGCCCACGTGAGCGGTGCGCGTTTTGCAGCCCGCGCCACCTCCCCGCCCCCTGCTAGTTCTTCCCACGTTGGGCTTTTGGGAAAGAGGCTGAGCGTCGGGACGTTATTTACCAGGCGTTGTGGCACTAGGCCTGGGAGGAGCAACCTGAATGCGCTCCAGGGCAGTTTTGTTTTGCAAGCAGTTTTGAAGGCAGGGACTACTCGAGTTGCAACCTGTTTGCTGCTTGGATTCATTTATTTCTGGAGCATCCTGAAAATCTATTTCACCTGTTTTTTTTTTTTTTTTTTTTGAGTTAGCAAAGAATTGTCTCAATCTTGGGAGTTCTTTGTTTCCTGAACAAAATGTGTTTGGGGATTTCCAGGGAAAATGTGCCAAGCAATAGGAGGAATGAAAAGTTGGGTTTTCATTACATTTGTTTTAAAATTTTGCCAGCCATTTAAATCTGAAATTTAAATTTTCTCTCGCAGTCCTCCAGGATTTGAGACGCACATCTATCCTTTAAATGTGCAGGTTACACATAGTTTAAATCCAAGTCAGAATGGAATGTGAAGGATTCTTTAGCAGCTCTTTTTGGCATTTTTATGAACCAAGTATTTATTTTGATTATTATTTATAACTATGCTTTTGCTAGCTGGATTTCTTATCTTTTAAATAGACAATAATCAGTATTATTAATCGAATATTTCACTCCCTTGGTTTCTTATACCTTTTGTAGAGAAGTAAAACTTTAATAAATTAATTGGTTAATGAACTGCATCAAGATACATGTTTTGTTAGGATTCCTCACTGAAACATTTAATTTTGGGCAGGCTCCACGTTTTTTCATCGTGTAGTATCATTTCTTGTGTTCTGTTTTTCCAACTTAAAGCCTACTTATAAAACTTATCAAGTCTCCCATCTCTGGGAAGGGGAAAGAGACCCAAGTGAAAAATTACCTGACTTTAAGGAAGGATGTTTTCTCTCCTCGTTAATGTTGCTCTGCCTGGCAGCAGGGCGTCAGGCTCAGGGCTTGAGTTGGGAGGCGGTCATTCTTTCTGGGGATCCTGGCAATGGAGTTTCCTCCCGAGCCTGTCCCAGCCTGCAATGGTGCTACTGACTACAAAATCGCCCACAAATGCTGACTGCTGCGTTTTCAAATAATAGCGACTGGCTGAAGACAGGGCATGTCGCAGTTTTTCTGGTGGCATTCTGGTTTTGTGTGGAGGGATATGTTTGGCCGTGGCATGCACTTTGTAGAAGCAGGGTGCCCTCTATGCCCAAGGGAGCCACTGCCCTCTGCTAAGTGAATGATGATTAAGAATTTCATAAGTATTTTTCTGACCGGAAGATTTTCTAAATAAAGGTTTTTGTGGTTTTCTTCTTTTCTTTCTTTCTTTTTTTTTAAGCTCCAAAACTAGTATAAAAACTATTGGTTGACTTTAAACTCATTTATTTCAAAAACTGCTATTTATGGCTGAATTATTAATAGATTGGTGATTTTCGAGCTGAGTGTTTTGTATTTAGCCCTTCCCTAAATAAAGTAATTTGAATGTGTAGAGGGCCCAACTCTTAGTTTTCCTTTGAAAATGACTTTAAAACAGCTCTCTCCCTCTCTCTGTCCTTTCCACGAACAGCACTTACCCATTTTTAGGACAGTATTAGATCTCACTGTATCATAATCCCCTTTTTTCCCCTACCACCCGCCTGTTCTTTGTGTCTTTATTTCAGATTGAATTGAATCTGCAGCTACTTAATTTTGTT